TGGAATGGCTTATCTCTGAAATGACTGGACCGATTTTGACTACTAGCTACTGTACTAAAGAGTAACATAAGCTACATTATTTTTATAAAAATGCAAATGAAGTTGCGTTTTCAGCAATTATTATAAAATAAGTATTCACATCACTGCTTATTATCTTGTACCTTAGCCGTAATAAAAAAGGTCAGTTTAAACGACATACTACTAACCAAATAAACGTCCAGAAATCGCTACTCCAATTAAAATTGGGGACTGTCCATCGAGGAAAGAATGCACCAAATTAAAAACGCTTTTGTTAAAGGACATGGTATTTCAATACAATTTGATGCCCCAGTAACGTATTTTACAAAGTCTGTAAAAGAAAAATAAACATTTTTCTATGTAATAGACATTAAAATATTCTGTCAAAATAAAAATGCAATATTAATGCCCATGTCAGTCAATACTTCTTAATAGCAGAATATTAAATTATCAGTATTATTACAGAAAGAGTAATTAACGAATGATTTTTCTTTGTCGTTCTTCTCCATTCGAATCTACAATGATATTGATGGACTGTATTTGTTGACGTTTTAAAAGTACCAAATTATGGTTTAATTGAAATAAATGCTAAAATAAACTAACTTATCTAGGTATTAGGTATCTCCAACTTCTGTTAGATCAATCAACAATAGTTTCACAAAAACAACAGGAAATGTTTTGTGTTTGAAAAACATTTCCACATACCTACTACAATTTTGTCCACGGCTGTCACCGGAGTGTGGTCATAGGCTAGCCGATACGGACAATAGGGTGACCAAAACTGCACGCCTCCCATGGTACTTACACACAAGCGGTTGACCCCATCGCGTCCAATATGTGCCTACGTTATTTGGTGTCCTACATCGCCGTTCCGATGCTACTATTTAGGTAGACTGGATGTGAACAGTGATGTTTCTCTTAAATTCGTTTATTTTATATAAGTTTTTGTTTTTCATGCATTCACCAAAATGAGTCATTTTGAACATGCGTGAACGTCTAAAATGGATTACCTACTTCCAAACATAATATTATTTATTTTTGGACGGAAAAATCCAACAATAATTTTTGCCTTCCCCTGCATTGTACACAATCACTTGACCAATGACGCCATACCCACTAAAAGGCCCAACTTCGAATAAATGTCAACCGAATTCAACCCTCGAATGAAAAGATAAATCATACATGTGCCCTTAATATTTGAAAGGTTTTGCTACCAAAATACAGCTCGCATAGTATATTTAAACAAACCACAAACGGTTGAAAGCCAACCCTCTTCATAAACACCGAGGAACCTTTAAATATTCTTGACAGAATGATTTTTCCTTAGGTTTGGGTATCACGTATGAGCCATTACCATTCCTATTTATTTGCAACGGTTCGATTCGACCCGCATCAAGTATCGGCTGCCAACAATGAAGTCACGATCGCACAACACTTTTACGCCGGACTTGTACCTACTTATACTGAAGGGTTTGTTTTGTTTTCGGAAAATAAAATGTTGCCACAAGCTTGTAAATACGTCTAAAACGATGAAGGAGTATCGATAAAAACGAAATAGTAATACTGCGACAATACATCTTAATTTCAATTAAGAACAAATCAGTATTATGAACTGGTTTCTCAATACTCAACTAACGTATTGCCAAAACAAAGATAAAAAGTGATAAAAGATACAACAAACAAAGATAAAAGATATACAGTGAGGTAGAAAGAGGAACCAAAACTAAACTAAATATTTCTACAAAATAAAGATGTCCATTCTAAAATCCAGCTAAAATAAAATCAGACCAGCCTGGGAAAACTACACACAAAACCTGTTAGTGTTGTGTCCGTCAAAGAGATTTCATAGGCTTACTGACGTAAAGACTAATAAATCTGTGTGCCAAAATCTGACCCCAAAAACTTTGAGAACAAAGAAATTGAAAAGAATAAAAATTCACAAGTGAGGATCTGTGAATATAAAGATGGTCATTAAAAAGCTATAAGTTTAGGAACGTCTAGCTTACACGAAGCTGAGAAACTGAGAGAAGCAATCTTTTGTAGAGCGATTCGTATCGATTGAGCAGAATGAGCGTTGGCAAGTGTCCATTTGCGAGCCTTTTGTTATTCGAATTCGTTCCAAAAGTATGTACATGCCGCCACATACAGTGTTTTTGTGGCCGTAGCCAGACCGACGGGATTGAGTTTTTTTGTAAACAGATATAAAGATTCCGCTTCATTCGCAGTTCTTATCCACATTGACGACTTAACGTCAGGTCAATATTTTTCTAAGAGATTAAGCATATATGAAGTGTATCGTTATTATTTAGTTTGTGTATTTATTTATTCGTGAGCACAGTAATTATTAATTATTATTATATTTAATAGAACGACCAATTTCATTGTAAAAAAAAACACAAAAAGGTTGTCGGCCCGAACCGAATTTTTTAAAGTAACTTCGCTAACGACCACGAGATCAATAGGGCAGTCAGGTAATATAATTTTCTAATAAACTTTTTTGATAATGACGCTACTCGGCTCTCTTTTGCCCCCACTAATTACGACGTAGCCGGTCACCTTTCAGGAAGTAATTAATTTCGTTCGCACCAAAACGTGACTAGAATGCCGAAGAAGAATTTGTGGACAATGTTGACATTCTAGACGAGGTACCGTTAATTATGCCATTCTACGAAGCTTCAGAACCGTGCCGCAATGATTAGGGAAAGATTTGAGATGAAGATAATAATTTACGTTTTAAATCCATTAATAGAATTTTATTTTTAACTTTAAATTAAAGGTCATTGACTCAAAGATTTGCTGTACAATTGTAAAAATTTGCTGAGACTTTATTTGTATTCATTTCATAAACTGCCAATTCTCATAGAGGTTCATATAGTCCTACAGAATGCAAGGTATTTAACTACAAAACCAACTGAATCATATCAACACAGACACACCAGACAAATGCCAATTACAAGAAAGAAGAAAAATCGTTTATTTTAGCTACTAACACGAGGACAGGACGTCATAGAGCTTTTGTTCTAAGTCACACGTCTGCTCACACAAATAAAACAAGCAACTTGCGCCGTAACCACGGTACACTAGTTCAGAAATAAGTTGTACCCGTACCGCAGTTCGTTCTAACTTAGTTCGCCTGGACTTTGGATGTCATTTCACATGGACTGTTTTACACATGTTCAAATTGGATGAAACATATGCAGGTGTAGCCTTTTAAAGTTATTTGTGATTTTTGGGTTTGTGTTTAGTAAACGTTGCACTGGCTGTTTTCAATTTTAACAATAGGTTAAGTAAATGTCATGAGAAAAGTAAATGTAGCTTCCTCATCAGTTGAGTAGTTTCAAGTATTCCTTTTTATAAAGTCGGCAACGCAAGTGTGACTCCTCTGGTATGGGCGGCGCTGATCGCTAACCATCAGGTGATCAGTAGGTACTCCATAAAACAAGCCAATTAGATGGATGAATTTTATTCAAGGCTCGATTTCCTTTGTAATGACATCAACATAATTATGTAATTGACATAAAATATCGTAAAAAGTAAATGTGCACGTCCACAGCATACACCTTCAAAAGTAACTGCTATGGCTTTATTATCTAGTGACCCATGTAAATGTTGACATTACTTTCACAACGTATTTCCTTTTCATGTTATTCATAGCATTTAATACTTTGTAAGCTTCTTTCAGTTTCCTTGTTTGGAAAAATACATAAAATATTGTCTCCTACGATACACGGCCATCACGTGTGCACAACATATCGACTAACCCTTATCAAATGTAGACATTATGGAGCCATTCGTCTAGCAAATAAAAAAATGACACGAAAGACAAAACATTCCCTTTTGCTATCATATTTATTTGTACTTCCTTTCCTCTATTATGACGTAACACTGAATTACGTGGAGTATATAAAACTAGATGCGGTAAGTACTAATACTGTATACGTGATGTCAAAGAAATAAGAAGGTGATAAACGAAAAAAAGGCAATTAGAATATAAAATAATATTCCGCACATTTTAGAAGCAGCTACAAATAACTTTAATGATGGCACTGGAATAAGAAAATTTAGAACATGAAACAGAGCAAGCTAAACAGACAATTCGATGCTAACAATAATGAACATCTCAGTGCATAGTTTAAAACTAACTAAACAGTATCAGGAAACTCAAACAGACGTAGGCGTTCTTGCGCTCAAACAGGATGTAGCACGAACGGTTTCGTCAAACAATATTCAGTATTCTGTGCACACGTAGGAAAATACAATAATTCGAACGTGTCCAACCGATTTGTCGCAATGCAGACTTTGGTTTGGAGAGTTTTCAATATTTCCCTACGCTTAGAATTGAATTTTGTTGACCTATGTTGTTCAATGTTTGACTTTTACGTCGATGGGAACTTACTGTACTATTTGGCCGCCTACAGTTACCAGCGAAGTTCTATTTCGTTTTTGTTGATGAGAATTTGGCCAGTTGTCAAAATCAGATTGCGGTTGATTCAGTGCGAGAGATTTATTTTGGAATGGAAATACATACCGTAAAATATTGTTTTGCAACACACTCGTAAAATTGGACCGTGACATGCATGACGATTACCGAAAAAATAATAACTCGTCGATTTTGTGTTGCAAGCTGAAAAATGCTGTTTCTGTGGAAACCAAATTACTTTTATAGAAATAGATTTTTTTTTTATTAAAAAAACAGGAATTTCTTACAGTCTACCAACCTTAAACTATATGTTTAACACAATTACGAAGACGAACATACATAACATTGTACCTTTTATCCCCCAAGGGGTAGATACACATTATCTAATGCTACCTACTGTTGAAAACCCAGTAATACTTTGGCTGTCCCATCGAATCGAACCCGAGGCCTCTTACCCGGTAGTCGCACTTGCCAATGCGACTACTTGGCCAACGAGGCAGTCAGTAGGCAGAGAAGACGAACAATGCTTTGAAAAATACTCAAAAATAATTCTTCTTTACAGGGGCTTCTCAGTCGTCGCACCAGAAGTAGCAGTGCCAGGGAAAACAACAGCCATCCTCGTCACTCTTCATGGAAGAGCTGGAGACGAGACCTTGGATCCTCTAAATGTCACTGTTAGGCTTGAAACTCAAGATGCCAATAATGAAGTGAAGCAACTGATTGCTGCCAGTCAGATGATTATGGGTAAGTAGAAAAACAATATTTGTAACTCTCATTAGGTTCCGATAATAGTAAAAGTCATTACACACTTAACCAGCACAGCACTTAACGGTTCCAAACCAGCAATTAACTTGTCATGTAAATATGAACTTTAAATTGTATGTCGTAAGATATATTTCATACATAACATCAAAGCATATGCAAGCTGTAAGCACGCCGCCTGCGTGCCGTCAGCCTTACGTCTTACTACCTTTTTGCATTGTTTTCAAAGCAGGTGTAGGTATCGTTACGGAACCGTACCAGAGCCGTGGTTATTAAGTGTGTTATGATGACCTTAAAAATGTGTAATGAATGAATGTAGGGGAAGACTTTAGAAGATTTGAAAGAGATAGGATTAGGAAACAATATTTAATCCTTCGAGGAAAATTTCAAGAAGTTGTGTACTATTATGAATATATTTGATTTTTTTTTCAAACTATATCATTCACGGCTTCTTAGATTCTTCAAAGCAACAATAAAAATGCTGATTAGGTTCTAAAAAATTGAGCGTTATTCATAAAAGTCAATAATTTATTCTTCAGATTTTATCGATGCATTTCTTGAACTGAAGAAATACTTCGTAGATTCTTCTACTGTTAGCTTTATTTAACTCAATTCTTAGGTTATGACAATTTCTCGTTATTTCAATTTCGCAGCACTCAGCGGCTATAATGGTAAAGATAAAAAAGTCAATGTAAAAACGTGACTACATAAATTCTGTCTTACTTCTAACAGTGAATAAAAGTTAAAATATATAAGAAAGAACTATAATGTAGAAATAATGAAATTTACCTTCCTTCACATCTTATAAAAAAGTGGATGATATTAGATTGTAACGAAATCATAAACAACAGCAATAATACCCACGAAGGGGCATAATTTAATCAAGGATCCAGAAATACCTCTGTTAAGTATGTTATTTAAGCAAACAAATTATAAGTAAAAGAGAGAAAGCTATCGACACACACATTTTTCGTCTTCAATTGTTTTACAAAATCGCGGGCTCCGCCACGCACATAGATAATCTATCACCATAGACTATACTATGACCATAGAGTATACCACAGATACACAACAACCTCCAATATCCAAATCCAACAAAAATAGACATGCACCCACAAATACTGATTATTAACCTTTTTTATTGTTCGATAGAAATGAAAATTGTCGTAAAACGTGATAATAAAATTGGAAACGATTTCTAATATGATTTCGATTCTTCGATCCTGTACAATCGTCCCAGATTCGATAAAGTTATTATTGCTGTAGTAAAAATCTCGTTATGTTCGGCAGACGGCGCTATTGAAAACTCGACTTATTGCCAAATAGATATAAACTGTGTTGAAAGTGCACGTACCCGGAAATATTCTCCTTACAAGTGCCCCGAGTTATTGATATTTCGCCAAATTGTAAGGTAGTTTACGGACTGAAGAAATATTTGCCCGTGAATACTTTGCTGAGCAATATTTTGTTTACTGACAATTTTATCGGAAACTTTGGCATTATTTAATATACGTTTACCTACTGTTGTACAATGTAACATCCGCTTTTCATTATTAATTTTATGAGCTCCATGTAATTACAGAATTAAGTGCCGTAATGCACACCTCTGCCTAACCCCTTTTTTTTTTTTTTTTTTTTTTTTT